GTGCTGGAGCTGCCCGACCCGGTGCTGCCCCAGCTGCCGGCGCTGCTGGGCCCAGACGTCACCGCCGCCGGGCTGCTGGTGGTGGGCAACAAGGTGGACCTGCTGCCCGCCGACTCCTCCGGGCACTTGGGGCGGCTAAGGCAGCGGCTGGTGACAGCGTGTGGTGAGGCCGGCCTGCGCGAAGCCCCGCTGGTGGACGTCCGCCTGGTGAGTGCCAAGACGGGCTTCGGCCTAGAGGGGCTGGTCAGCCGCCTGCAGCGCTCCTGGAAGTGTGCCGGAGACGTCTACCTGCTAGGCGCCACCAACTCCGGCAAGTCGACGCTTTTCAACATCTTGTTGTGCTCCGACTACTGCAAGTCCCGTGCCCCTGACATCGTCAACAGGGCCACCGTCTCCCCCTGGCCAGGTCAGGGGCACCTCTCTTCCCATCACGGCGCGGGTCATCCACGGTGTCGGGTACTCAGAGGCCAGCTGGCCTACCCTCGGCCACCCCTGGGGCAGAGGGACCCGCCACCACGAAGCATCGCCGTTGTGGGCAGTGAGCTCCAGTGCTGTGCCATGCTTCAAATCGTCACCTTCTTTGGGGTGGGAGGCATGCACAGGGCGTGCTGTGTGTCTTGTAGCAGTAAGATGTTTGGTGAACCAGAGCCGGCCTACGTGCTCCCCTGCCAGCAGGGACGGTACCTTTATCTGACATCCCTACCAATTAGGGGTGCCCTCCACTCTAGAAAGACCGGGAGGTGGACTGGTGAGCCCCTGTAAAACAATCATAGGTCAGACCAAGCTGCCTGGAGGTGGGAATTGCCTGAGGTGTGTTAAGTCAGTCTTGACACCACTTGGCTTTGAGACTTATTTCATCAAACCACAGGTGAGTGCAAATCTTGAGCAGGTGGATGCCTCATTTCCACCATCTTGGCTGGCACAGCTAGTACTTAATGGGAGCAGCTGTATTTCTACCTCCAACTTTGTATTACTGGATTTCACCCAAAAGTTTGAGAAGCAATTTTTCTTTTTCTTGCTCCTCAAAGCTTAAATGTGCCACATAGATTGCTACCTTCTTTTTTTTTCAGGGACAACACTGAACCTATTGAAATTTCCAATTATTAATCCTACATGTGACAGGATATTTCGAAGGCAGGAGAGACTGAAAGAGGAGGCAACAAAAACAGAAGATCAGCTAAGCAGTGAAGAAAAAAAGTACCTTAATCAACTTAAAAAGCAAGGTTACTTAGTAGGTGAGTATTGCCTGAGTAAAGGTATTGCCTTTCTGCTCCAATGTAAATACTGTATTACACAAAAGACTGTTAACTTCTTAATTTTCTGTAGAATCCAGCTGATTTTGCCAAGTAATTTCTTCCCACTCTGAAAGAACTAGTTTCCATTTAATTATGGGAAGAACACACTAATCTGTAGAAGCTATAAAGAGTTTCCAAACTTGCATTCAAGTTATTTTGACCATTTTTTGTTCCCTGACTAATGGGTGCAAGCCCTCTAGCTTCTCCGTAGGGAGAATTAGTATTTCTTTTGAGTACTTATTTTTCTGCCATTGTAGTAGTATTGCAGAGGTGTCCTCTGTGCAGTGCACCTCCCATCACCATTTGCTAACCTAGTTCATATTGCTTAGCAGTTTACAGTGATACTGCATTATAGGCTGTCTCTCGCACTCAAAGGAAGAAAACAAATTTCATTTTTCAATAATCACATTTTGGCTGCAGACCACAGTGATCATACATCATTTTAGTATGTATTCAATGTAGGGAGTTGCCAGAAGATAGCCCTGATTTTCAAGTAATTCTGTGTTTGACAGTCTAAGGCACAAAAAAGAATGCAGCCTGCTTTACTGTGAAACAGAAATAATGGAGTGTGATCTGGTCCCTGCTGAGGTTCTGGGGCTTGAGGAATGCTAAACAAGAATTGTAGAAGACATTTCTTGTCATCTTGGCTTTTGAACACACAAATTTCTAATCATGTAGCATCTTTATCACCTTTATATTACTGCTGTGCATCCCTTTTAAACAAGGGAAGGGACAGATGTCCGATTGAAGGAAAGGCAAGTTAATAAATTAATTACAAGGAAACCTTTTGTTTTAATCCAGGAAGAGTTGGAAGAACATTTCACCAGCAGAAGGCTAGACCTGTGGTTGACTTTGACCCTAACATGCTCTCATACAGCATAGATGAAGAGCCCAGACATTCCCCTAGGAAGCGTGAGGAAAGGGAGGAGTTCACATACAACGAAGTGAAGGATGCTCGCTGGTGTTTTGACACTCCAGGGATTGTAAAGGAAAACTGTGTAGGTACTCTCTGGTTCTGTGTTTTGGGATGACAGGGTTTGGGAGTACTGTTCTGCCTTAGCTCTCCCACAGGCACAGTTGTATTTCTGCTGCAGTCCTGGGGTTAGGATTCTTTTGGTTTGGGCAATTGCATTAAAATATGATTTGTATTTATCTGGGAAGGGTTCATTGTGTTAACACTGTTGCATTTCTGAATAGTGCATACTGATCTTTGCAAGGGTACTGTATGACTGCGTCATCAAACTTTGTTAACATCTAAATGAAGGGAAGTAAATGACAAGCTGTAAGCAAGTTTATACCAGCATCACCTGATTAAGTTTGCACTTTTTAAGCTCTACCAGCCTACTGAAAAAGGTGGAGCTTAGGAGGATAACCAGTGTTGTGTGAACCAAGTCTTTGAGAAAGCATTTTCCTGAAGCTGGCAGGATCTGCAGTGCTCCTGTTAATAGCTCCAATACATCAGACCTACATCAGTGTTTCAGCACACGTTCAAAAAAGTTGTGTTTTGATTTTTTGATCACTTTGATACCTGTGCAGAGAGCTACAGGTCATCTTTTGGGGAAGATGAAAAAGTATGGGAGGTAAGAGAATGAAGTGCAAGAACTGTACAGTCATCAGCTTAGAGACCTGGTTTGGTAACAGGAGATTGGATATGTTCTTCCTTCTTTTGGAGTTGGATAAGTGTAGAAAACAAGTGGCCTTCGCTGTTTCTGACTTTGATGATTCTTGCTGTGCCTTTGGACAGCTACCTGCCAAGTTTCAGACCAAACTTAAGTCCTGAGGTCAGTGTTTGATTTAACTGTAGGACAAGCAGATGGTCTGTGTGGCAGATTTTGTCAGGGGAGTTTTTTAGTTAAGAGCAGGTGTGAGCTTTTTTTCTTTTGGAAGAAGAGGGGAGGGAAGGAAAGTGGCTGTTAGCATATGATGGAATTAAATTTTTGTTCTTGGATGTTTGTTTTTAGCTGCTTCCTCATGACTCTTTCCAAAGCCAAGCTTCTGGAAAGTCTGGGAGAGGATTACTGATAACTCAGATCTTGGATTAAGCATTGCCAAACACATCAGAAAACCTGCAGTTAGCAGGACAAAACCTCATCTTTTGGAATCAGTGTTGAAGGCTCCCCTGACTTTCAAGCTAAAGATTGGCTGCCTGTGAACTTAGGAAGAGCATTCAGGGCACTGGCTGCACCACAACCCATGTTAGTTCAGGCTTTTAATGCTTGAATTGAGGTTAATCCTCATGGCCAGACTGCTACAAACTTGCATTTGCATGACTGTAGCATGCATGGGGGACACAGTCTGAAGCATTACTGCTGTCAGTTCCCTGTGTTTAGGAAAGAGACACCGTCAACCTGAAGACTAGTCTCTTCCTTCAGGGCACTGCTTCCTCTGAACTTCTGTGCTTGTGTCGTTTCATAGCTGGGTTTGAACAGTTACTTCTTTAAGAAGTAATCCGACTGCTATGGCTGCAGCATTACTGGTTAAATTGCTGGCTTTGGGGTGGATCATTTCACTGAAACAAGTTAGCACTGAAGCAGATGAGCCCGTTTAAGGCAGGAGATGGAAGGAAAGGGAGGAGAGGAAGACAGGCAGCAGGAGCATTTGGGAGGCCTCACAGAGGGGAGAGCTTGTTTTGCTGTGCCTGGGGTAGGGATCCACGCTGTGTGGCAGGCTGGTCATCCTGCAGTTTGAGTTGTGTCACAGTACTTTTCTTTCAGCACTTTTCTTTCAGTAAGATGAGACTAGCTTTGCTGCTAGTATTGTTGTGGTGCTTTGTGTCACTACATAAGTGGAGTACCTCAAATGTCATAGCTGAAGGTGGTCTCTGGTTCTGCACATGGCAGCACTCATGCTAAAGCACAGTAAATCTTGTGTGAGCTTGTTGCAGCCAGACCCAGAATTCCCAAATCCATGGTCCAACAGGCTGCTGGCAGCTCTTATACTTTGTTATGGACCCTGCATTGCCATGGAGATTGGTGACATCCCTGACTCATCCTGTTTCTCACTTACCATGTGGACCAGAATTGAACTGTCCTGTTAGATGTTCTTCACACTGCTCTACTTGATCTTTCTCCTCTATCAGTATAATACCAGAATTTCATTGACTCATTAAAACATCTGGAATAAGTTATGGCAATACAATTTATTTTGCAGGTTTTAAATCTCCTGACAGATAAAGAAGTAAAGCTGGTTTTGCCAACACGTGCCATCATTCCACGGACCTTCATTCTCAAGCCAGGAATGGTTTTGTTTTTAGCAGCCTTGGGACGTGTAGACTACTTAGAGGTAAGGGAAGAAAGGATTCTATGAGCAGCTGCTTCATCTCTTGTGATAGTACCAGATGATAAAAGGCTTTCTGGATAGCTTTTCCAGACCCTTTCTTTGCTGCTTTTGTGGTGACGAATCTGTTAGTAAAGCACGCATAAAGTCAGAATGCCTTGGGATGGGGAATTGCAGTTGAAAGGTTTGATACTTGTTACCAGCATGCAGTATTTTACATTGTATGACAGTAACTGCTTTTGAATGCTGACAGACGCCTTCAGCTTAGTGTGCTTCCCATAACATACAGAGGCACAAGGCAGAGAGGGAAGGAGGAGAGTGCCAGAATTAGCTGGAAAATAGTTGGGTTTCCTCATTTCTGTGTTTCATGAAAGCTGTTTGCCATGAGAGAAAAGCATGGGCATTTTGCTTTCCTGACACAGACCTCTGAAGAATTTGCCCAATGAAGCAATTAAATGCACATGTATTTTAGTTTCGTAAAAATATTTTTAAAAGGTGCTCTGTGTGTGTCCCCACCAATTCCTTCCATTTATTAGAAATCCCATGCCATACATGTTTATTGAAGTGTGTGGAGCTGACCTCCCGTGATGTTTCCTCTGGAAGTGGTGGTTTCTTCCAGCTATGGATCTAGCAGTTACGATAATGCCTTCCTCAGTAGTTTGCCCCAGTTTGGGAAAGGTGTGTATGTATGGCTATTCCTTTGTGTCAGTCAGCTTTCCAAGATCACCATAAAATGTTGAATTGTTACTTTGCTGAGGGCATTTTTGACCTAGTGGAAGAAAACCAGAAAGGTGGAGGTGACAGCATTCTGTAATTAATAATGTACCAGTAAGGCAGGAGAGCTCCATCATAGTTAAGGTGAGAATGCAGAGCCCTGTCCCAAAAAAACAGCTTGGCAGTACAGAAGAGTAATGCCTTACTCAGGAATAAATGCTGTTTGTGATGAGAGCAACCCAGCAGAAGAAAGCCTGTCTTTATCCATACTGTCTTGGGCAAAGCTCTAGGAAAAGAACATGTAGACATGTTGGTTGGGAGCTATCAGGGACTTAAGAAAGCACCTGGATTTGCATCCCTGACAAAGTAGGACAGCAATACAGGTGACATCTTGCTGGCAGTAAACACCCTCTGCAGAAACACTGTGAGATGAGGCAGCTACAAGGCCCCTCAAGGGGTGGTTTTGTTGTGAGGGATGACTTTTGGTCTTGGAAGTTGTGGAGAACACAGCTGATGTTGGCAGCCTAGGTAACCTGAAGTCAGGGTAAAAAAAGTGCTACACTATCTCCTGATGAGAGCATCAGGCTCAGAGACCTGTCCAGTGCAGCAGGGCTGGCAGTTAGGATTCCTTCATGTAATGGTGCTCTTAGCAAGCTGAGCTATGCATGTTTAGGGCCCCACAGGTCCTTGGTATCTGTCTTGGCCCATTGCTATGTCAGCATTGCAAATGTACATCTTCCAGAGACCTTGGAGGAAGGCAGCTGTGCTCACATCATGACAGAGGACCCCTGCCTCAGATTAGGTCTGTGAGGAACTTGAAGCAATCACTGAACTTGAGTTTCTATATTTCAGGCTGCTAGCAGTGTTTGTAGAGGTTTCTTCCCTCTCTGGCCTTGTTTGCTTTTTGTGCAAAAGTTTGATGGGAGATGCATGTTAGAAATGTAAAGTTCTAGGAGAAGAAGCACCAGACAGGAGATGTCCATCACTCACCTCTCACTATATAACCACACCAAGTTTGTTCTTGGTAATTAAACTTGAGCAAAGACACCTCCTGGATGATTTGCCTGAGCTGAGCAGATGTGATGGCAAGGGGATATGGTATTGGGAGTACTTTGAGTCAGGATGGTGAAGCCATGGGTGCTTCTCTCCTGGAAGCTCATCTTCCCCATTTATATAAATCCTGGCTCTGCAGTGACCCAAGGACCACTCAGACAAGGAGTGGACATCAGTCGAACAAGTTTTCAACATGCAGGAAAGAAATGGAGCAGGAGAGAGCAATTTGAGGCTGCTTTTCTGTTATTGTAACATCCATCCTTCTCTTGTTATTTATTTCAGGGAGAAAAGTCTGCCTGGTTTTCTGTCATGGCTTCTAACCTGTTGCCAGTCCACATTTCTACCCTGAATAATGCAGATGCCGTCTATGAGAAACATGCTGGCCAAGAATTACTAAAGGTAAGAGGAGGTGCTGTTGTGGGCTTTCGTTTGCAGGTGGACACGCTCTCCTCCCTGCATGGTGAAACGTTCACCCCAGCTGGGGCACAATTGACAGGAAAAAACAGCATGTGTCAGTATCTGGCTTGAGCCCAGAGGGCAACTGAGCACCACGCAGCCACTCCCTCACTCCTTCCACCTCAGGAATGGGAAGGAGAGAATACAACAAAAGGCTTCTTGGTCAAGACAAGGATAGGGAGGGATGACTAACCGATTATGGTCACCAGCAAAAGACAGACTCTTAGGGGAATAAAAAGAAAATAAATTTAATTCAGACACCACCAATAACACTTAACAGAGTAGGACAGTGAGAAGCATTACCACTTCTTAAAAACACCTTTCCCCCACCCCTCCCTTCTTCCCCAACTCAGCTTTGCTCCTAATTTCTCTACCTCCTCCCCCCAGTGGTGCAGGGGGCGGGGAATGGGGGGTGCAGTCAGTCCCACTGCTCCTTCTACCTTAGGGGGAGGACTCCTCACACTCTTCCCTGCTCCAATGTGGAATCCCTTCCACAAGAGACAGTCCTTCATGAACATTCTCCAACATGAGTCCTCCCCACAGGCTGCAGATGTTCACAAACTGCTCCAGCGTGCAGTTCTCTCCCATGCATTGTCCTCCCAGCGCCGAACTACAACAGCATGGCCTTCTCTCAGAGTCCTGACCTTCTTCACGCACAGTCACCTCCTCCAGCGTGGAGTCCTCCATGGGCTGCAGGGGCACAGCCTGTCTTCTCACCATGGGCTGCAGGGGAGTCACCACTCTGGCAAACCTCCCCCCTGACTCCTCCTCTTCCTTTCTTCCACTGACCTCAGTGTTTGCAGAGGTGTCTCCCTCACAACTCCCACTCCTCTTCCCAGGTTCCCGTTCTGAAATACGTTATCACAGAGGTGCAGCCACCATCACTAGTTGGCTCAGCCTTGGCGCAGAGGTGAGTCTGACTTGAAGTGGGGAAGCTTTGAGAAACTTCTCACAGGGGCCACCCCTGTAGCCTTTTCCCCCACTACCAAAACCCTGCCACACACACAAACCCAGCACAGTCAGGAGTTCAGGACTTCTGTGGTGGGAGAGTAGAGATCTGCAGTGTGCAGCACTCTTCCACAGGCTGCGTGGCTGCAGCTGTGTTAGGAAAGAGCACCTGAGATGGGGTTTCAGAACAGATTACAGTTGAAAAATGTACCTTTCTTATTCTTTCCTTGCTGGATCCTCTGCACATCTCTTCGTCTTCTGGTGGTCTGACTTTTTCCTTGGTATTGCTACATACTGTGTAGCACTTGCTGGGGGACGGGGTGAGCTGTCCCTGTCCTGGCAGCTTCATTCCTGTGCACATCGAGAACAGGTGCTGTCCCCTGTCCCTCACATCAGGGCAGCAGGCTTGAGCCACCAGCTGGGTCCTGCAGTGGGCACTCCATCTTAGCTCACCTCTGAGCTCCCACTGGTTTGCTCTGGATGTGCTCTGGATGTTCTTGGCAAACCTGAAAACTCCTGTAGGGTATTCAAGCCAGCTCTTAACATGGCTAACAATGGTCTAATATCTTTATTCCCACTTGTGCCTTGTTCACCAGTTTAAGGTAGTGCTGAAGCATCTCTTGACTGTTAAATCTTTTCTCCATGTTTCGATTTTAGGTTCCCATGGGTGGCAAAGAGCGAATGAAAGAGTTCCCTCCACTTGTCCCTCAGGACATTACACTGAAAGGAATTGGTACCACTGAGGCAGTTGCAGATATCAAGCTTTCCTCTGCAGGTAATTTTAATATTTCTTCATTAGTTTGCTTTGCAGGGTCTACATCCTAGAAACATTGATGGGAAGAGGCCTCTGAAGGCATGAAGCTCTATTTCCTGCTCAGAGCAGGACTGTCACCAACACAAAATCAGGGCAGCCGTGACTCTGTCCAGCTGAGGCTTTGCAGTCCCTGAGAATGGAGATTGACAACCACGGTTGTACAGGATGACCACATTGCAATACGTTGTGCTCTGACTGCCATACAAGTTCCACAGCATCAGGAATGGCAGCGACACTGTTGGCTGTCCAGGAGAGAGGGAAAGGGCCATGGATTAGAAAGCTTTATTGTTGTGGTTTTGTAATTCCTACCATCCGTCTTAAGTTCACCGGGAAAGAGCTGTGTCTGGGGAAGAGTAAGATGTGGATTTAGGTGCTATCTTCTATTGGGAAAGGGCTGGGTATTTGAGTTTGCTTTCTCACAGAAATCACACTGGATAACTCGAGTTCTTCGCCAACATGGGAAGCACTGAGTTTGTGTCAGAACCCTCATTCAGATCCCAGTGACTCGTCTCACTGACTGACTCTGGTTTTTTTTGGCTGTGCAGGCTGGGTGGCAGTGACGGCTCATGCAGAAGAGAAATTGCTGCTCCGAGCCTATACTCCTGAGGGCACTGCGTTGGTGGTGCGGGAGCCTCCCCTTTTGCCGTACATCAGTACCATCAGAGGGTCCCGGATCGCAGGCACTGTTGCCTATAGGACCAAAAAGCCTCCCTCCGTGGTGGAAAACCTGAAAACCACAGGGAAAAGATAGCACTTCTCATCATTTGAGCAAGGTAGAAGACAGAACAGCCTGTGGAGAACCTTATTGCTTATTGGTATTCAGGGGATATTGGACTCCTTTTTAAAGGCAGACAGGCACATTTTTGAAAGCAGGCCTGGGGAGGAACTCCACAAGTCCACACCTGATCCAGCTGCTGAACTGCAGCCATTTTGAATGAGCTGGGTGGCTGGTACCTTGCTGTGAGAGGTGAAACAGCTTCTCCCTGGGACCTGCCAGTATCTCTGAGCAAATCCCTTTACCTGTTTCCTCTTGAAATATAGAATGAAAACTCACCTGCCTGCCCTGGGCTGGATTTGCTACTCATAGAGTAGGTCTTCTTTTGCAGACACGCTCCCACAGGTCAGAAATCATCACCTTATTCTTGGAGGCTTTATGGTGTTTCCAAGGTGGAAGGAAGTAGTGGAGGGAGTGGGGGGGAGCAAGGAATGCTCCAGTGTGGTATGACCTTCCTAGTGGCTGATAAGAATTCAACATCGACCAAAAATCAGGTCCTTTCAGTCCTTCAACATCTGGAGCAGACAAGGGGGTGCAACATGTTGCTTTTGGACACAGGGAAGGTGAATTCATGAAAAGCAGGTCTGCTCGTATGCTTGAAGAGGAAACTTGCAGCTCACTGCTTTGATTTGGTTTGTAGCTTGTGTAAAGGTTTCTGAGAGTGAGGATGTAGAATAAAACTTTGCAAAGCCACTCCTATGTTTCCTTTTTGAATCACTGACAAAGCACTCTTGTGGGGGCATGAGCATCCTGTGAACTACATGAAAACTCCATCAGGAAGGCCAGTGTTAGAGGAAAGTGTATCATGCCCCTGAGGTTGCAGCCCCACTCCAGTTACTGGTACAGCCAGCCTCCCTCATAGACACACAGTGGGTGAGGACTCTGCTGGTCCCATCGCCTTACAGTCTCCCAGAGCCATCCAGGTGTTTTGACACCCTGAGCTGGCTATTAGAGACCCCCACACCCCTTTTCTCCCAGTCCATTTCACCTGTTCTCCAGCTAATCCAGCTTGATCCTCACTAGTGATGGCATACCTGTCCCCACTTCACTGGCTGCACCATGGACACACAGCTCCTTCAACCCACAGTCTGACTTCAGTTGCTGCTCTCATGTCCCCATATGGACACAGAATACAGAGCCCTCACGCAGTTAGAAAGGAATTTAATAAGGACACCAGGTAGATTGATCAGGTGCTAGGGCAGTGACAAACAAGCGTACTGACAAGCCAACTATTTATACATAACTATCCCTCTATTTCCCACACTTGTTCTTCAAATTGCCTAAATCCCTCCCTTTTTCCAGCTGTGATTCCTCCCGTGAACAAATCTTGTTCAATCTCAGTATGTTCTTCTGCTGCATCCCCTGATGTGCGTCACATCCATAGACAACAATCCTCCTTAGACCAAAAGGTGACCTGGAGAGCTCTGAGATACAGACTCACAGGATGGTTGGTGTTGAAGTGACATCTGGAGGTTCTCTGTCCAGCCTCCCTGCTCAAGCAAGGCCACGTGGAGCAGGCTGCCCAGGATTGTGCCTAGATGGTTTAAGATCTGCAGGGATGGAGACCACAACCTTCCCTGGGCAACATGTGCCAGTGCTCTCACCCTCACAGTAAAAAAGGGTTTCCTGATGTTCAGAAGGAACCCTCTGTGTTTCAGTTTGTGCCCATTGCCTCCTGTCCTGACACGGGGCACCACTGAAAAGAACCTGGCTCTGTCCTCCTTATACTCTCCCTTCAGGTGTTATAAACATTGACAAGATCTGTCTCCAAGAGAAAGACATTGTGATGGATTTTGCTCCTGGCCAGAGGGACTGATGGCTCTGCAAACACAGCCCTGGGAGGGGCCCAGACAGCTGTTGGTTCCTCAGGAGTCCTTCAGTTGCGTTCCTATCTGCTATTGTGCCCCTGTACAGCTCTAGGTTTGTGCAGATGGGCCTTTGATGGGCTAATGGCTCCGATGATGGCCCTGGGAGTAGCCAGTCAGGGCATTATTTGGGCTTTGCTTCCCACCACTGTCTGTGTGTGCTCCTTTGTGGGTGTGCAGCCTGGCCTGGAGAAGTTGCTTTAGTCTGCATGATGCTTAAAGATGTCTCTTCACTTGCCTGCGGCTACGTTTAGACAGCTCAACAGGGCCAGCCTGCAGAAACCCAGCACTCGCCCCATCCTGCTGCTTAAAATGACATTTCCAGACAAAACTAACCACAGGCATCGCTTTTTGCTTATGCTGTTACACAGATACACGATGTTTTGTGCCTTGAGGAGAACCTGTTTTGTGCCGGTAACATACTTCATGGCAATGCAGGGCATTGGGCAGGTGTTGAAGGGCTTCTGCAAAAGCCGTGCCCTGCCATGAGAGCAGCAGCCAGCTATCAACAGCCCCAGCTGGGAACAAAAATGGATGCTCCTGACACATGCTAAACCCTGGTATGCAGGAGTTTGTAATGTGGAAGCAATTAGTGCCTCAATGAAAGCATAGATATGCCTTTTATGAGTTCCCAGGGCTGAATTACACAGGAGCTGAAGACCTGCTTGGAAACGTTTCTCAAATGGAGGGTTTTGTGTCTGGTTTATACCAGACAGCCTGAAATGTAAGACAGTTTTCACCATGCCTGTGAACAACGGCTGATTTCATCTTAGCACAGGAACCAAAAGCAAAAGTGATTTGAGTCTGTGCAAAACTGAGGCATAAAGAAAGGGCTGGGAAGGTCCAACCCCCTGGAAGGTTTGCTCTTCAGGGGTGTCCCAGTGTGCACTAGCAGGGTGCAATCATAGCTGCTCCAGAAGAGAGTGTTCAGAACCATTCAGTTTTCTGGAGAACTGCACAAAAAAACAGCTCATGGCTTCAGATGGGGTCGTTAAAATACAGGTAAAATCCTACAGAAAGACAGATTTGAATGTATAACAGCTAAAGCTGGCTGACTGTCGGGGCTAAAAGCTGTAAAGCTGCCTTTGAGCTGTTGGGGGGGTTGCAGTACCCAGAGGTGTTTGTGTACCTGGACAGGGATGCTCCTCAACTTCCTGGCCAAGCACAGAGAGCTGGGTTGGAGCGGGGCAGTGTGGCATGCAGAACTGGGCCAGGCAAGGGAGGGCTGCAACTCCCTGCCACCCTGCAAGCAGGGACATGCTGCTGTGGCTGGGAACCCGTAGGTTGGTTTGCTTTGGCATGCATCCGATGTGGTGCCAGCTCACAAAAAAAAAAAAGGCAGCTTCCTTTCCCTGCCCAGTGGCTATTACCTTTTCAGAGCGGCTCACGACAGGGGACTCCCAGCCTAGGGAAATTGCTGCTGCTTTTCATGGCAAGAGCAGAACAAGTTCCACATAAAGTTTGAAATTGTGCCCACTGTTAACACTCCCAAAATAGCCTGTAATGTGGGGAGAGGTACATTGGGCTGGGAGCCTAATAGACCAGAAGTTTCAAGCATCTGTTTCCTGGTGATTTTCCTGTGATTCACAGCTTGCAGTTGCCCATAAACTCCCCTCACCAGCAAGTGTCTTCACTGATCTTGTAGCTAAATTGCTAGGGAGTTGCCCATCATGATTGGTGATGGAGCAGAAACTTGGTGATGGGTCCATGGCAGGGTGGTGCATTGACCCATCCCCGTGGTTCCTGCAGTGGCAGAGGGGAGTTTTGCCCATGCAGGTCAGTCAGCAGTGACCTGAAACACCAGAGGGAATTCCTGACCAGCTGCTGTCGGTGGTAGCATCCCATGCCACACACTGGGTGTCACAGTGTGGCTGCGGTCACATCTTTGAACTATTCTGTGCCTCAGGTCCCCAGTCCAGCCTCACCAGGAAGCACCAAATCAAGAAAGAGGAAAAAAAGAAAAAAGAAGCCCTCAAACCATCAGGGCTATTGTGGCCAGCCCTGAGCAAGTCCAAGGCTTAGTGCCTTTTGGAAGAACTAGAGCAGCACACAAACCCTTTACTAAAACCAGGACACCCAGCACAGTGATGGGAAAGGGGCTTACCCTTCTTTTGGTGTTCCTCCATGATTACAGGGCACAGGGATACTGAACAGAGTGCAAACAGCCAGGCCAGGTCAGAGGGCAGGCAAACATGTGCTATGCTAACCATGTGTTAGCTGGAGAGTGAAAGGGCTCAAACCAGTGAGTTTCTGATTAAGTCTAAACTGTGATGCATTAAAGTTTTGCTTGTGTTTGTTTCCCAAGGACGCCTCAACAGTTTTTCCTAGGCCTCTTTGTCTGTCTAGACAAAAGTCAAATGCTCCCTATATAACTCACTGATAGCAGTCTTCAATGGGCCCTTGGGCAAACTAAAATAAAGGGGAACTTGAACAAAAGGACACAGAGATACAGTCTAGGGAGGACGATCTCGCCGATTTAGGAAGACACCTGGACTTTACCTCACAGCGCATGCTCCGGGAAGATCAGACTTGTGACTTCTTCCCTCCACCACCAAAGACCCTCACTCTATTTTGACTACACATGCTCGGACTATGTAAATGAATTCCAGAACTCATTATCATAAGACACCCCTTTCCAGGAAACCTAATTAATATGTATGATTTGTGTGTATGTCAACTGATGTCCCTTGCTAGTTGGTGGGAGCCCTTACGGTGGAGAATCCCCAGGGCGACCCCAACACTGCTAATAAAGAATACCTGCTTAACAGTTAGATTGGATTCTGACTGTTGAGTGAATTTCTTCGATTCAGTAGCATGTGCTCTGCCGTGACTGCGGGGTGCATGCCTGCAATGCCACAGCTGCGTGTTGTGCATTGCACAAGCATGTGCTATGCTGCAAGCATGTGCTCCTGAAATCCCCACTTAAAAATCACTGCCCCTTGGCAGTTTCACCTCCTGAGTGCCTGCTTAAGGCAGCACACACCTGTGCCAGCACTCAGAAGGTGGTCCTGCCACTTTATAACCACGCAGGGCACTGCCAATGTTCCTGCCCTGGCATCCCCACCAAGGGACTGGTCACCATCTTTCCACTCAACTTTTTGCCCCAACTCTCCTTCGTCTGTCTGTGATGGACACAAACCTCATCTGTCCCCTCACCTCCAGCACAGCCTCTGCTGCAGATGACAGCAGTTTGAGTGCTCTGACCTACACAGGGCTAAAGGAGCCAACAAGGCTCCTCTGAGCAGCTCATGGGCAAGGGGCAGGTTCAGCCGCCTGCCTTGAGCCTGAGGGTGTCAGAGCACTGCCACGACATTGTCTTGCCACAGGTCAGGTGCCTGCGGCAAAGGAGGGAGATGCAGGGAACTCAAGTTACCAAGCTTAAAAATACAACCTGACCAAGGGTAGGGTTTTGTTCTTCTAGAATTACCTTTTCCTATGTACAGGTTATACTGTACGTGAACAAGGTAAAGCCACTTGTGTCAGCATGGCTAAGCTTTAAAAACAAACAAACCAACCACAAAACCAAAATCGGGAACCTAGCATTTCAGGTCCTTCAGAGCATCAGCAATGCCTGAATAAGGCAGCTGAATTAAGAAATGAACTTGCTCTGTCTCCATACAAGGCAGCAGAAAGCTAAGCTATTCCTCACTTGAGGTAACTCACCTTTTAGGCATCTGGGTGAGTGGGCAGGAGTTCACACTGGCCTGCAAGGTACCATGGAGACATGCACTTGTGCTTGGCTACCCAGTTTTGTAAAAAAACCAACTCGGCATAAAGCAGCTTCTAAGCATGTTTTCAGCCTAGCAGGTTTTATCCTGGTTTTCT